ATTTATTAGTAGTGCAACACTATCCATAATAAAACCAAATTTCAAATACAGAAAATCTAGTGTATTTTAAATATTTGTAATCTTTAAAAGAGGATGCTTCAATTATTTTTTATATCTTACACATTTACTTGATTTGTCTTTATTTATGGATAATCAGCGATTTCATAGTTTGTGAAAAAATGCAAGTTGTTTTCGTTATCAAATCATTAAAATTGATTTGTTCTCATACGAATTCGAGATGTACTAATTTTTTTGTATTTACTTTAATCCGATTTCGTTCGAAGTATTTTTCATCCATATTCCCGCAGGCTGAGATCGTCTTAGAAAGGAAAATATGCACAGATAGGAAACAAGACCTGTCAGATAATTACAAAATTATTTCAAATTATATATTAATATCTAATATATGATGGATATATTACAAACATAGACAGTATTTCAGCGCATATGACAAATTTACTTACAAGTAAATGAGTTTTGTCGCGATATTTCGGTACTTTCTTGAAATGTTTACTGTGCATGAAAAGTAACCAAACAATTGGACATTGGTTTGCTTATCCAAGCAATTTATAGATTTCCCGAAACATTTGATCAATCCTGAAATTATATGCTGCCAAAGAAATATTTTCAGCTTTGGGTAAACATACTTCAAAGAAAATTGTGGTATTGAAAACCGAAAATTCACCCACAAAAGACACTAGTGTCTAGCTACATATGTATGTACTTCACTAATGTAATCGGCCATTTTGCAGACGGAGATTTGGTGTTACATTTGACCATGAAAAAACTAAACTATAGTTGTTTGTCTCATAGTGCAATATTCCAGAAATTTTTACACGATGTCACAATTAGTTTCTGAACAGATTGTGAAAGAACATTTAAAATAATAGAGAATTCTCTGCTTGAATTACTCGAGTACCGATAATCTAATCACAAAGATTTTCAAGTGCACACATGTACTGTGTAAAAATTGTCGAATAACATTTCTTAGTACAGTTATTTCTTTTATAAAATATAGTTAATTCTGGTTTCAACCATGCTTTGCTCTGCAATTTTTGATGTTATTAATTTAGATGCTTACATGAAGTTTCAAAATGCGCCATCTGTGAGTTGAGAATAGCGAGGGCTAATCATGATTTTCCGTTCTATAAGTTTACTTACTCAGAAAGTGTGGCAGACATGATTTCTCAACGCGTCTGTCTTTTCCGGTTATCCGGTAGCGTGTGCGAGGTAAAGAAAGTATTAAAGGGGAGGGATACTTTGTAAAATCCAAAACAATCCGCCACTACAATGAACATTATCACATATTAATTGTATCGTTTTGCTTTATCCGATATATTTGTGAAAGACTGGGTATTATTTTCAAGAAAAAGTAATTCTTTTGCAGACAGTGAAATATAACCTTGTTTCACTGTTTCTGTCAACATTCCATCGTAGCAGGAAATTTGTATCTTTCTAACTTGTGCCTTCACGTAAATTACTGTTTACTAATATCATTTTCAGATATAGAACTGTTTACAAATTACATTTACCTTTTTTTTCGTGCCACTTTTTAACCTAACCCAGACTTCGACTTGGTGTTGCGGGTTGTAACCTATAAAAACATATCGTATTACAAAAAGGATAAAGAAGTTCATTATACGTATGATAATCAATTATGTCCTACACATATGTGTTTTGTGAGAAAAATAGACTTAACTTGTAAAAGTAGTACTGAATTTCGTTTTGGATATAAGCATTCATTAACTACCTCATGCTGCAATATTTTCGAATTTTATTTGTATGTTAATACCATGCTATTTTATTTCAGGATGAAGCAAATTGTAACAAGTCAAACCGTGAAAATACCTAAGGACTTGACCGTTACGGTCAAGTCCCGTTTGGTAACTGTCAAAGGACCGAGGGGTGTTCTTAAACGTTCTTTCAAGCATCTTGCACTCGACATTCGTGTAAGTAATCATATTTTACCCACTTAGTATTGTATACTTATAGTTAAACTGCGATATGATGATATGGTGGATTCCCCTTCATTTCTTCTAAATGATAAATCCTTTTCTGATCAATTTCTAATTAAGTCTATGTTACGTAATGGTTTCTAATTAGCATTATACTGATATTACCATGTTTTCTGTTTAGATGATTAGTCAAAGGCTACTGAAAGTAGAAAAATGGTTCGGCACGAAGAAAGAATTAGCTGCTGTGCGTACCGTCTGTTCACACATAGAAAATATGCTTAAAGGTGTAACTAAGGGCTATCAATACAAAATGCGAGCTGTATATGCTCACTTCCCCATCAATTGTGTTACCACCGAAAATAACACGGTCATTGAAATCCGTAATTTCTTGGGGGAAAAATACATTCGTCGTGTGAAGATGGCACCAGGCGTGACCGTTACAAATTCAGCTAAACAAAAGGACGAATTAATTATTGAAGGAAATTCGTTAGAAGACGTTTCCCGTTCTGGTAAATATTAAACCCGTCCAATTTACACTTAAAATTATTCTCTCAGCGGTAAACGTTGCTTTAATCGATTATTGTTATCTGTGTTTCAGCTGCCTTAATACAGCAGTCTACAACTGTAAAGAACAAGGACATTAGGAAGTTCTTAGATGGTCTCTATGTATCTGAAAAAACAACAGTTGTACAAGAAGAATAAATATTATACACAATTTAAACATGGCATTTATTAATTATCGAACTATTGCGATTGCATTTACAGAGTATAGTTAAACGAATGCAAGTAAACAGTGGAGGTTGGTTCAACGGCCACGCTGAAATTATGATAGCAAATTGTTGAATGTAAAGGTCCATTTGCTTTTGTTTGAATTTTTATTAATGTTACAAATAGTAATAACATACGTGATCGCAGAATTATTTCACTAGATTCAATCTACCTTTGATCCTTTCGGAATTGCAAGAACTGATTATTAATACAATTCTTGCTATATTTGTAGCATGTAAAAAAGATACATTTATTATTGCAAATATAATGGTAGATCTTGCAACTTTCGGTATAAGATATACGTAAAACCCGGCAAAAACATCTGTTTTTGGAAATTTAAAAATCGCGCCGTTTGTGATCAATGACGCCTCTTGTAGTAAAATTTCGAAACAGTTTGGGAGCTCGTACAGCAACAATTGCTGCAGTAGCAAACCGCTCGAACTACTAGCAAAATTACTAACAGTCGATTTTGGCTAACAGTTTGAGCGTTTTGCCGCTGCAGCAATTAGCGCTGTATGGATGTCGAAGGAGCTTCGAGATTTCGTCGGTCACGTTGCCCAACAGTTTCGGCATTTTGCCGCTGCGCCCATTGACGCTGTACGGGCCCCGTCTGTGTTTGAAAATTTCGTTTTTTCCTTCTAGAATTACGTTTTAATTAAGTTAGTAATCAACTAAAAATACACCCCGCTGTCTTTGTACATGTCTTGGCTACGTCTCTTTGGTCGTATTTTTTCGATTCGAATTCAAAATCTCTCGACAAGTACGAAAATCTTTCAGCGGCGGCCATCTTGTAACGGCATGAGAGCGTCGCCACGCTAGCTGAATATTGCAAATATCTCCGCAATAACCAAAAAGTGATCATTTCGAAAACCAGAGCGACGTAGCTTAGTCTTTTGGGAATCTAAATTTTCCACTCCTGAACCGTACGCTTCGATATCGAAGCGTCTAATCTGGTCGGCATAAACCGCTGCAAATATATACAGGATGTCCCGAAAATGTCTCGCAATCCGGAAATAAGAGATTCCTGAGGTCATTTGAAGCAACTTTTTCCTTTGCGAAAATGTTCTCCGAGGCTTCGTTTACGAGTTATTAACGAAAAACACTGACCAATAAGAGGCGAGCTCGACTGGCGCGCGGCGGCCCAGCCAACGAGTGCACGGGGCCCAGTTCCGCTCATTGGCTCGGCCGTCTCGCGCCAAATGATCTCGCCTCTGATTGGTCACTGTTTTTCGTCAATAACTCATAAACGAAGCCGCGGATTGCATTTTCGCTAAGGATAAAGTTGTTTCAAATGACCTCAGGAATCCTCCACTTTCGGATTGCGAGACATTTTTGGGACACCNTTCGTCGGTCACGTTGCCCAACAGTTTCGGCATTTTGCCGCTGCGCCCATTGACGCTGTACGGGCCCCGTCTGTGTTTGAAAATTTCGTTTTTTCCTTCTAGAATTACGTTTTAATTAAGTTAGTAATCAACTAAAAATACACCCCGCTGTCTTTGTACATGTCTTGGCTACGTCTCTTTGGTCGTATTTTTTCGATTCGAATTCAAAATCTCTCGACAAGTACGAAAATCTTTCAGCGGCGGCCATCTTGTAACGGCATGAGAGCGTCGCCACGCTAGCTGAATATTGCAAATATCTCCGCAATAACCAAAAAGTGATCATTTCGAAAACCAGAGCGACGTAGCTTAGTCTTTTGGGAATCTAAATTTTCCACTCCTGAACCGTACGCTTCGATATCGAAGCGTCTAATCTGGTCGGCATAAACCGCTGCAAATATATACAGGATGTCCCGAAAATGTCTCGCAATCCGGAAATAAGAGATTCCTGAGGTCATTTGAAGCAACTTTTTCCTTTGCGAAAATGTTCTCCGAGGCTTCGTTTACGAGTTATTAACGAAAAACACTGACCAATAAGAGGCGAGCTCGACTGGCGCGCGGCGGCCCAGCCAACGAGTGCACGGGGCCCAGTTCCGCTCATTGGCTCGGCCGTCTCGCGCCAAATGATCTCGCCTCTGATTGGTCACTGTTTTTCGTCAATAACTCATAAACGAAGCCGCGGATTGCATTTTCGCTAAGGATAAAGTTGTTTCAAATGACCTCAGGAATCCTCCACTTTCGGATTGCGAGACATTTTTGGGACACCCTGTATAGGTTTCTTCTACGCGTGGGTAGTACAGCGACGAAAGCCTCAGTTTCAACGCAAGATCGCGGCACCTAAGCAAAAGTAAACGATACGATTCTTCCTGACCGAGGAACAAAGTATGTACGACGTTCGAGGAACCAGACCTATCCCGTTCACGGAGGACTTCGTTGGACACGAATTCCAAACGCGACACAGATTCGCACGTGCCGTGGGGCGCGCGGAGAGCCGCGGTTTAATCGCCGGTCGGCCGTTCGGCTGGCCGAGGGTGCGGACAAAGAGCGCCGTCAGCTTTTCCGCGAAGATCGCGGTGACCGGCCGTGGAAAAACGTTGGCCGCTCAGAACGAGCGTCGCGCGATAGCATAGATCGGGAGCTGTCGGTGTCGGCGCGGTATAGGAAAAGAGAGGGGCCGAGAGAGATGTTCCCGATCGGCGGCCGGGCAGCGAGGGGGATAAAGCGGCGAGGGGGATAGAGCCGCGCGCGATAGAGGAACGCAGAAAAGGGAGAACACGCGTGTTCCCGAGTGCAGTGTGTTCGATCGCAGTCAGCCGGCGGCTCGTTTTATGCGGCCGCTCACTACCGTCGTCGCCGTCGCCGTCGCCGTCACCGTCGCCGTCGCCGCGCTCTCTCGACCCCCGCCGTAAATTTCGCCCGACAGACTGCCATGTCCGCGACAATTCCGCCCGCGCATCCGTACCAGTGAGCACGCGTTCGAATCGCCGGGGACCGGTTTGAATGGACGCGGACCGATTCGCTCGACATCGAGCTGTTCCGAGTGCCGGTTGAACGGAAGAGATCATCGCTACGTGCTGCAGCCGGTGCCGGACTATTTACAACCGGAGTCTCTACTAGTTTTACCTGCTGTCTCTCTACACGTCGACCTCGCGGTAAGCACGGTTATGTTCCCGGACCCGTATGCTCTCGCTTCGTTGTATTTCTCACCAAAGCTGTCTCCCCTCACCTCCCGGCACTTTCACGATCAGTCGTCCTGGCGATTCGTTTACGACCGTGAGTGTAGTTCAAGCAGCGATTAAGGAGCCGTTAACGCGTCAACATCGTCGTGAAAATTACTTTTGACAGTACATACTCGAGATCTTGTTTTCGAGGATTTTATTAAATGCGGGTCTACCGAATCGAGCCGGGATTCGACTAACGGGTTTCCGAGATCACACAGACCGGTGCTTGATCGTCGTACAAGGTACAGTGGAGACTCTCTTGCCCGGAGGTTCATCTCTTCTTGATATATTCCGATACAAAAACGTTCTATTTAACATTCCAGTTAACTGTGTTCGACGATTTACTCGTCACCGTGAGGTGGCAGTATTTTCGTGTCACGACGAGTATACTCGTCGCGCGTAGAAAGTAACGACCGTCGGCTGTTTAAATTGTAATTTTAGCGAAAACGGAAACGTATTCTGAAGTTTCGAGATATTTAGAATATTTTTGATATCGCGTAGGCCGATCCTACGCGAAAGTGTTCACATTGTTGTTAAAAATAAGATTAGAAAAGAATCGCGATATTGGTGCCATTCGACGTGCAAAGTGTCGCTTGCTTCGCTAAATACCACTTTACAGCAGCAATTGGAATTTTTCATTTTTATAAGCATTTTTTCCTATGCTTTTCGTTTATTATGCATGTACATAGTTAATGCGTGCAGTAATACATGTTAATGTTAAGTGAATAAATATCGGTAATAATATTGTTGATTCTATAAAATAAAACTGGCTTTTCGATCGAATATTTTAACGGCGACACTTGCTCCGTGTTCGACGAGTATACTCGTCGTCGCTCGATTCTCGTGACACATATAGAGGTTATGATACGCTTTACAAAGGAGACACGACACAGCTAACTGGTCAACTAAATGTTTCGAGATCGAGTTATCTGCCAAGACGATAATGTATCGAAATGATACAATAGAACGATAGATAATGATACGACAGATAATAGAACCTTCGTTCGGATACCAGCAAAAATAATTGTTCGGACAAAGGAGTCTCAACCGTATTTAACGTATTAAGTGCCGACTATTAATTAAAAAAAAAATGCACGCAATATCAAAGTGATTTATCTCTTCGCGCTCGAAGACATTTTACCATTAAAACTCCGGACACGCGCGCACACACACTCACACATTTTCGCTTGATTTTTGCACATCTCTCGCTTGATTTTTTTAGCAGTTTATCGAATAAACACAGACTTAGCAATAATATAAGAGTGAATCAACGACACCGAAATCATAAAGTGAAAATTTATTATAGGAAACCTTGGTTCAGTTGTTTTGTATTCTACAAATCAACAAATTGTTCAATTGTTCAAATTGTTCATTATGTTACAATAGAAATGACTTTCAAAAGTCTAGCTAAAAATCAGTGTCACCTATGCGTGAGTCACGCGGCACCGAACGTATTACAGTAATGTCTCTCTAATTGACGCATAGCTTGTCCACAAAAATGGACAATTTAGGGAGAGGAGATACGATTATTCTCGATCGTTGCGGTTCATTTTTATAGTCATGAATTGTCAACAACAAATAAAAACCAGCTGCAAGGCTCGAATAATCAAGCATCTCCTCTTCCCAAATTGTCCATTTTTGTGCACAATCTGAGCGTCAGTTAGGGAGACATTACTGTAATTCGTGGAAAATTGCGATCCTGCGATCGACGCAACGCGTGCAACGCAGAACGTCCTCGAAAATGTCCCTTCTCGATTTACGCTCGACGCGATCGATACGAACAGACGAATTAGTTCCGAGATGAAACAAAAAAAGAAGCTACATTCGGCGAGGTTCTAAACATTCTGGAAAATTAGACGCGACGCGGCGATATCGGCGGCTAAGTGCGTTCTCGTGTACAAAAGCCGATCATAATGTGTCCAACAGTTTCGCCGACGGTGTCGCGTGTACGCGATGCGTCGTTTCCGGCGTGATATTAATCGCCTATAATTACTGGAAACGTGAACGAATGCGGGGAACATTCGAAATACGTGTTTACCGATTCGGCGGCAGGTGATTCGCGACGTGCGCACAGTGCAAGTCGTATCGCTGATCGAGAATACGAAATAACGTCGAGCGTTCGCCGAGCGCTAATTTCGGTCTAAATTCGCTCTCTCTCTCTTTCTCTCTCTCTCTCTCTCTCTCTCTCTCTAAATTTAACGCTTTAATGACCTACGTAGTCAAATAAAATTCAATAAATTAACAAATAAAAAATAAACATTAAAAATAATAATTCAATACATTAATAAATAAAATATAAAAATAATAACTAAATAAAGAAATAAATAATGAATAAATAAAAAAATAAATAATGAACAAATAAAAAATAAAATAATACAATAAAACAATAATTACCTAAAATCGAAGACGTAGCGATGAAATACGAAGCAAATAGCAACATCCATGCTTGTTTACGTTTATAAATATATAAATAATAAAGAAATAAATAATGAATAAATAAAAAATAAAAGATAAAATAATTCAATAAAACAATGATTACCTAAAATCGAAGACGTAGCGATGAAATACGAAGCAAATAGCAACATCCATGCTTGTTTACGTTTATAAATATATAAATAATAAAGAAATAAATAATGAATAAATAAAAAATAAAAGATAAAATAATTCAATAAAACAATGATTACCTAAAATCGAAGACGTAGCGATGAAATACGAAGCAAATAGCAACATCCATGCTTGTTTACGTTTATAAAAATATAAATAATAAATAAATAAATAATATGAATAAATAAAAAATAAGATAATTCAATAAAACAATAATTACCTAAAATCGAAGACGTAGCGATGAAATACGAAGCAAACAGCAACATCCACGCTTGTTTACGTTTATCAATCATCGCACAGAGAGTGTAGTACCGGCCAATAACCTTCGGCGGTTAGCATCACATCAACGCATGTTGTGTGAGCGGTCATTAAACTGTTAATAAATAAATTCTCCCGAATTTTTCTTCGGCTTGTAAACGAAAGTGGACAATTTTGCAAGAGCAGGATACGATTGTCTGTAAAAACGAGGATAATTGTAAAGACGAGGTGCAAACAGGAACGACGCGCGGCCGACATTTCCGTGATGAAGGTTCAGCATGGACATACCGGTTCGATCACAATTGCGCAGGCCGCCGCGTAGGAGAAAGCTTTTCGCCGGCTAACCGGATAAACGTCCCGGCGTGTAAAAAGCCATTCCCGGCTCGATCGGACGGCGGGTTCCGTTCTTTCGCGATTTCCTTGAAGCGAAAGGAATTATATAATATATAATAATTGTATAATTATATAATATATACAGGGTGTTCCACAATTATTTTAACAGCCGAAAATGAGGCGTAGCTGAGATCATTTGAAGTAACTTTTTCCTTTGCGAAAATGCAATCTGCGGCTTTGTTTACGAGTTATTTACGGAAAACACTGACCAATGAGAGATGACGGCGCGAAGTTCGAGAGCCCGCAGCACGAGGCTTTGACAGATGGTCGTGACGGACTCGACCCGCGTTCGCAGTATTGAACAAATCACGAAGCGAGAACTTTCCGGATTTCTTTTTACTACGTAACAGTGATATTTTTAAGAAAAACGCTGTTCACCTTTACTTTAGAACGTCTGAAGAATATTTACTAATTTTTCGGACCCGAAATGGTAATTTAACCGTGACGGCCGTTTTAATTTTCTAGTGTGCATGACACCTTGTGTGTAACATGACATTTTTAAGTATGGTGTACAGTGAAGATTAACAAAGTACGTAAATGATATTTTCATTTAAATAATTTCGTGTCCGAACACAGTTCAACGAATGGGATACGTTTGTTAGAGAAATATGAAGAATATTATCAATAACCTTGACATAACCATGACATAACCTTGATTAGTATTTATTAAATTAGCTTTGCGAATCATTCGTTGAACTGTGTTCGGACACGGAATTATTTAAATTAAAATATCATTTACATACTTTGTTAATCTTCACTGTACACCTTGCTTAAAAATTTCATATGTTGACCTTGACATAACCTTGATATAACCTTCACATAACCTTGGCATATCAAGGTTATATGAAGGTTAATATCAAGGTTATGTCAAGGTTATTGATAATATTCTTCATATTTCTCTAACAAACATATCCCTTACGTCCTTTAACACGATTATTATTTATTAAATTAGCTTTGCGAATCATTCGTTGAACTGTGTTCGGACACGGAATTATTTAAATTAAAATATCATTTACATACTTTGTTAATCTTCACTGTACACCTTGCTTAAAAATTTCATATGTTGACCTTGACATAACCTTGATATAACCTTCACATAACCTTGGCATATCAAGGTTATATGAAGGTTAATATCAAGGTTATGTCAAGGTTATTGATAATATTCTTCATATTTCTCTAACAAACATATATCGCTTACGTCCTTTAACACGATTATTATTTATTAAATTAGCTTTGCGAATCATTCGTTGAACTGTGTTCGGACACGGAATTATTTAAATTAAAATATCATTTACATACTTTGTTAATCTTCACTGTACACCGTGCTTAAAAATTTCATGTTACACACAAGGTGTCATGCACACGAGAAAATTAAAACGGCCGTCACGGTTAAATTACTTATTATTTCGGATTCGAAAAATTAGTAAATATTCTTCGGACATTC